AGAAAGCATGAGAACTGCTGAATGAGCTGTTGGTATATTGCTCACTGTTTTCTCCAGCCGTTAGACATTTGCAGTCACTGGAATGTGTATTACTTTTTCAGAGAAGGGCTTTTCAGATACTCATTTTAAAAAATCCAGTCATAGCAGAAGTGGCTTTTTATACCCTAAGCTTTTGCATTTCTTGTGGTTACTCTGCTGGTCCTTGAGAGTCCAGATAGCTAGCTGCTTTGTTTTTTAAGACACTGAGAGCTGCCTAGTTGGCGTCGCTCAATGGTTGAGCATGAACCTATGATCCAGGAGATCCAGGTTTGATTCCTAGTCAGGGATCGTGTCCCGGTTGCAGACTCGATCCCTAGTAGGGGGCGTGAGGAGTCAGGCAATCAATGTGATGTTTCTTTCTATCTCTCTCCCTCTCCCTCTCCCTCTATGAAATCAGTAAAGACATATTAAAAAAAAAAAAAAAAAAAAAAACACCAAGAGCTTAGGGTGAACAGTATGAAAATGGTTCCTCTACAATGGTGATTTCAGGGCTTCACTCCATGTCCAGCATCTTCTTTTGGTTTGGAAAGTCCTCTCTGGTTGGGTGGTCACTCAAGAAAAGAAATGCTCTATTCTTGCTTAGTAACAAATGCAAAAAATAAAGTCACTACATATTTAGTCCTGGGGCTGCCATGGGCTCCTCTGGTAGGTGTACTTGTGGGAGCCAGCACTAAGGCCAAATCGCCACGAGGCCATCTGTTTTCAGAGGCCAGCTGCAGTTTGTTTACATGTGGTACCCACTGCATATTTTCCCTGACTTCATTAATAAATAGTTGAGATGAAGGGACAAATCCCTTACTTTCCAGGTAAGCTAAGCAATTTGTTTTAATTACTGTTAGCCTTTAGTGAGTGACAACCGTGGGGCTCCTAACCATTCACCCCAGCAGTAATGATGTGGACTGTGAATTAGTAGTAATTTTCACACAGACAGCTATGGGTTTTTGAGTTCTTTGACATGTACTTATTTTCCCAATTGAAATAATTTACACACACACTAAATGGATGCTTTTTCTTCTTACAGTCAGTCCTTTCCCATGGCACTGTGGCTGACTGTGCTGTTGTTGGCAAGGAAGATCCTTTGAAAGGTCATGTCCCCTTAGCCCTCTGCGTGCTGAGAAAAGGTGAGAGAGCTCTGTCCTTTCTGACTGTTTGGGCCCTGAATGATTAAGGGTAATTCAGTGCTTACCATCTGAACTTTCTCCTTAGGTATAAATACAACCGAGGAACAAGTTTTGGAAGAAATTGTGAAACACGTTAGACAGAGCATTGGCCCTGTGGCTGCTTTTCGAAGTGCAGTTTTTGTTAAACAATTACCCAAAACTAGATCTGGCAAAATTCCCCGGTCAGCTCTGTCTGCCCTTGTCAATGGCAAGCCTTACAAGGTAAATTATCAAGGATGTTTAATGCTGGGTTCTGAAATATTTTCCCCCATTTCTTTGGCATCAACAAAACTCTTAAACATGGTTCTCAAGTATGAATTGTATCCCTCAAATACACATAATAACACTTTTTTAATGTTAAGTGAGAATTACATAGCCACTCTCTCTGTAGAAATGTGGGTTTTGGAGAAACACAGATTAATTAAAACCATATGCTTTCAAAATACAAGAATCATTGTGTGAAAATATTTTTACTATTAGTAAATATGTCAGTTAAATTCAAACAAACTTGTGGAAACACAATTTTATTGAAATAAAGGTATAATCTTTTTTAATGTAGTCATTAATGGCTATCAGTGAGAAAGCAAGTAATTGAGACTGGCTATACGTGTTTAAACTCTTTAAATTGATACATATGATAATTGTATTGAGTGAAAATTATTTTAGGAAACTTTAGGCTGATCCAAGCATATGTATTTTTTAAATTTGTTTGCATATTGTGCATGCATAGATATACATATTTTAATAGTAGAGTAGTTGCATGCGCAAATGCAACACAGTTTTCTTTTTCTTTTTATACAGGCACATAGAAAGTCTCATAAGAAATTCTGTGGAAAGTAGCTTAGTTTTATCATTCTAAAGCTATAGGTACATTTTTAAATATTAGGTTCAAAGTTCCCTATTTTTTAACATTTCCATATGAATATTTAAGGTAACGGGGAATAGAGCATTGAATATAATTAATCATAGAGAGAGTAAAAGAGTTGCAAGGAAGAGCACTCAGATGTCTCTAATTTTCTCTCCAGGTCACACCTACAATCGAAGACCCCAGCATCTTTAGGCACATAGAAGAAGTGCTGAAACAAGCATCATGACGGGTTTTTGAGTCAACTTTCTAATTGGAGTCAAGTTTTTTGAATTATTTCCCAGAAATAAATATTGAAATAGAAATTACTTGCAAACTGTGAAGCTTGGTCTAAAAAAATGCACTGCAAGACTAGTGATTAGACCCAATTAGCGTTGTTATCAGTTACCTGTAACACAGCTCATTATAGGTTGTCTAGCACTTTAATCTTTAGAAAAATATATCTAATGGATGATTTTTAAAAACTGTACCTTCTCCCCCAAAAAAGCATTTTAATCGAAAGTGGCATTAATATAGAGCCACTTCCTAAAAATAGGGATCTGCAGTTTTGACCCAAAACCTAAAACTCAAGCTGAAGTCAGAATATAATTACAGTTTTTCTTACGGAAATTTGGAATGTTTTCTAATATTCTTGAGTCGCCCACATGCACGGTGCTCATGTAATTAGTGACTTTCCAGGCAGGCGGACCTGTCTAGCCATTTCCTGAGGGAGGGCTGGCCCTGGGCGCTGCGCCGAGGTCGGGGCGTTTGTTACTCAGTCAGGAGCCTGGCGGTCGTGTACCCCTCTCGTGTCGTCATGGAGATGAGAGCTCTTTGCCCCCCCCCCAGGCTCTTCGTTGACTGTGTACTTAATGAGTCCAGCTTCTTGTGGAAACAAGGAAATGATGTAGAAATGGGGTAGGCTGGCAAAGAAAGCTCTTCAGGAAGAAACATAAAAGTTTTTACATTAGGCTAAGAGAAACCAAAAAAATCGGATTTTTATGTAAAATCTCTAACTTTTAAATAACCCACTAAAAAATATTGTGGCAGTCAAAGACATCTTTCCATTTAAACATCTATAAAACTATTGGGAATTAAAATAAAAAATTGAAAATGAGCCTTTGTTTATGGTAATGTGCCAATTAACGAGAGCAGACAGATATAGATAATTAAATATTTGTCTTACCTAGAGTTGGACATGTTATCAGTAATCAAAGGATACATTTAATCACAAAAATATACCATGCCCATCGATGGTATTCAAAGTATCCCGTAGTCCTTTAGTCTATCAGGAACATTACTTTGAAGAGCAGCTGCCCTGACATAATATAGTCTGGGTACATGAAATATATGTCAGAGATAATGGATAAAGAAAATATTTACTTGCCTGTGTAAAATTGCTTACGACCTGTATAAAGACATTTTGAAAATTTGCGCTTTGTATTTGGACCATAGGCTATTAAAATGAATGACTGCTTCAAGTAAATGTCTATTTGCTTAAATTGGCTTCATGATCATTACACCTGGGGAAAAAAATTTTGTCTAGTCATTTTCCTTAATTATTTTAGTAGCCTGAATTAAACCAACTAGGCAGACATTCAGTTTATAATTTGCAGCTGTTGGATTCTTAAACTGCAGCTTCTATTGAGTACATTTAACCCATTATCACCTCTGTAATCTTAACAAATAATCCATTTGTTATGTCTTAGCACTTAATTGCATTACCTTACTTTTTCATATAAGATTCAGTTAATTTGAAATGGCAAATTTTTTTAGCTGAAAGTATATCATGTATAAGGCATAAACTCAAGGTATATTACACAGGTGCAAGAAATGTGCAAAGGTTACGTCTTGCATATTTTTCCTGACGATCACATCTAAAGGGACACTTCGGCAAGCAGGCTGGAGCTGTTTTCCAGTTGAGTGAGAAGAAAACAATGCACAACACTGGGAAATTAGCTTTTTCTTGTATCTGGCTGAGGAAATTTATCTCCTCTGCAGGGTCAGAGGATGTCACTTTCATACTAATAAATGTGGGGCCAGAAAGACACTAAAGTGTCAGATTGCTTAAATTTTGGAAGAAAAAAAGGAATTTTCTATTTTAATACTTTTATCATAAAGCACTTTTACTACGTAGTACCTAAAATATTCCAAATTAAATGTATCTTTAAAAATAACAATGTAATGTTACCAAAAATGCAATCATATTTAAATTTGCTGAAATAAATTCTGTATGATGATCTTTCATATTTTCATAATTGTTTTTTTTTACTGTAAGACACTGGCAAAATTAAAATATAAAGATTTTCTTTTAAAATGTATAGAAGTGTCAAGTTATTTTGCTCATGAAAATGTATTGAGTATATACAATCAAGACCTTTTCACGTTTAAAAAGCAGTTTGATTTACATAAAATTGTATTTGTAAATGCTTTGATCATTAAAGATGTGAAAATTCATAATGTTGCTAGATTGTCATTAAATGCTTTAAATAGATTAAATGGATTTTAGATTCTGGCAGATATTATCTTAGACATTAAAAAGCATTTTATGCTTTTTCTGATACACATAGCTGGATCTGTTTTATCCCGGTATATCTGAGTCTATTATGAATGATTAATATTTCTTGCTGGTGATCTCTAAAGGGGAGAAACTTTATGTGATTGATTCCTGTATAAGAGTAGATATAAATCTAATTTATATTGTTGTACTATCATAGCTTCTATATTATATTTCACTTCTATAAATCAGCATCCCCATCTTCAGATGAGTCCAAAAAGCTCTTTCCCTTGTTTCTGCTTAGGCAACATTTTCAGAAAATTTAAAATCACTCTCATAGGCAAGTTCAGTGCTCCCTCTTGTGGCTGACTCACTTTTGAAGAGAGTCCCCCCCCAGAAAACCATTTTAAGTAAATTGTTACACTTTATGTGACTAGAAAACAAAGCTTAAACAGAGAACTGGAAGTATTCTTTTTTTATTGACAACAAAGAGGGTTTGGATTCTGTTACCATTACCTTTTGACTGAATCTGTTTAAAGAAAAATAGACATCAAAACAAATGTAATGTACGTGCTAACATGGCAAATTAAATACAAAAATGAAATTACTAATGACAGGTCTTGCGCTTATTCAGATCAAACAGCAGAAAGTCAGCAGATTAGATAAATGTATTTTTAAATAGGTTTTACTTTGAACTCTCCCATATAAACGAAGAATAAACAACATTAACACCACCAAATAAAGCCACAGGGAAGATATTACTCTTCTATACTTTATACACTATATATGTTAATCATTCTGTCTTTCATTTATTTCCTCTGATAAGATTGACTTCAGGGAAGTCGAAACAAGGCCATCTCGGCTGAAAGCTTATGCCGTTAGACGAGAGTCTGGCAGTTGCCCTGTTACGCTGAGAAAGGGGCGGGCGGGGTTTTGTTTTCTTCGGTGGAAATGAGCCTGGGACTTCGCAGTGGTTGACATTCACTGAACAGTGCTGGCTGGCGGTTCAAGATATTTAAATGAACATGTGGTTCTTAGTAAAGAAAACAAAATTTTTTATTGGTCCACAGGTAACAAGAGAAGATAATGTTTTTTCTTTATAAATTTTTTTTTTTTTAAATAATCGTTTTGACTCTTGTAAACAGTTTGGCTTTGTTTTGTACTGAAAAGGAGATCGAGCCGTCACAGTGCTATTTCTAAAGATAAAGGACATCCCTGATTGCCTTGAAAGGTCTATTTTTGGCTCCAGTTCCAGGTTAAATCATTCTTTTTTACATGATCAGAGGCAGGTTTTCAGCTTTAAGTATTGACAGACTTGAAGGTGACACAGGTGGAGGCATGAAACATGCTTCCAGGAAACATACCAATTTGACTGTTATAATCCAAAAACTGTAAAAATGGTGGAATGGTAAAATACAAACAGTACTTGGTATTGTCAAATGTTTGCACTTGAGACTCCATGAACCATATAGTTTATTTTTAGAAAAATCATATTTATATCCATTTACATAAGACACATTTAAAAAGAAATGCACAGTCATACATAAATGCCTAGTATATTACAATAAAACATGAAAAACAAGTGGCTCCATTTCATAAAAGCATCTGTTGTACAGAATTTATGATGTGGATGATGTTTTTTATTCAAATGACTTAAGCATTTTCTTACAATTGTAGTAAACTAATCAAACTTAATATCTGACTCCCCCCAGAATCACATTTTCAGTTTAATAAACCATTACTTGTGGTTATTTCCTTAGAATTCAGTCTTCACAAAGGTGTTCACTGCGTCTCTTCTTGGATGGTAGTGCACTTTAGGTAGGGTAGACTGAAAAGACGACATCTAGAATATTTAATGGACAGCGTCAGTTTACTGAAAGGCCCCAGACCGCAAAGCCCCCTCCCCGGTGCGCCTGGGCCCCGCCATGCACCTGCCTCCCTCTGGCCTGAGTCACGAACGGGGTTTCATCTGGGATGTAGCCAACAGCTGTATGTGATGAACATTTGCTCTTCTCCAATTTTGTGCAGGCAAGCTTCATAAATAATATTTGCTCAATTTTGTGGAGATTATGGTAGTCATATATATTAGAAAAGGTGTTCACAGAAAATGTCAGCAGTCTTTTTGAAAAATTTACAGCTTAATTATTAATAAATTGAGTGTAGTTGACCTATTCAGTGGAATAGATTTTTATTCTAGCTCATACATTTTAGAGCTCTTATCAAGATACATTGGTTTAATTACAAGAAACATTATGATAATAAATAACACATTTTAAAGAATCTGGATCAGTGACATGGCATCATTGATTTTTTTCCCCCCCAGTCATAATATATTTAGGAAAAGTTCACAATTACTATTCATGACATGAAATAAATAAGAAATAACGTGTTCTAAATTATTTTAATAACAAAAGTGTTAATGTTATGTCAAAATAAAAATTGGTTGACCTAGATTAACTTATTGTAAATAAACACCTTTATCCCATTTAATGGTAAACACTAGGAAATAGGAACTTGAATGCCGTGCACAAAATACAGATTGCAAATAGTTAGAGTTATTCTACCCATCAGTCAAGAGCTAAGAAGCAAGTACTACTCAACAGTTTAAATAGTTGCTTGTAAGTGAGTGAAGTATTCATTTCTGGGAAAATTATCATGTTATGTGTAGAAGCTATTACAAATAGTATTTTGGAAAGCTTCTCACTTAGCAAAATTAGCAAAATTAGCCAAATTGTTACATATTTTATAGCATGCCTAATTAGATGCCAAATTGCATAGCACAATTAAAATTTTAATGTTAGGGTTTTATATTCTGAAATTAAATTTCTTATCTGAAGGTTTTTTGTTTTATCAGGAGCAGCTTCAAATAGTCACCTAAATAAGGCGACATACCAGCTCCCATATTAGGCCCCAAAGACCAACAAAAAACTGTGCGGAGCTTTTAGTTCAAGGCAATGAATAAACAGCACAAGATGAGCTGTTCCTCTGCCTGTAACTTCTTCTTCTCCCCTTCTCTGGGCACAGATTTTGTTCTAATTATTGCTCTACGAAGTATTTTTCCAAAATATTAATTCATCATAAATGGTATTTTGGTAAAGCACAGTTTTAGGTTAAAAAAATGTTTTATGAGCACTTGACATCCATAATCTAGGAAATCACAGTTTTACTAAGACTGCCAATGAAACTCCATTTTGGTATGGATTTGCAAGTCAATTGCACCAACTTGTATTTCTGTAAATACAAATGCCTTATATATTATGATCATGTATCAAGGTTTTCTGTTAGTTCTGTCTGCCATTCTCACAAAGTAATTTAACTTTGTTCCTATGCTATAAGCCCAAGATACTTCAAATTCATATTTATTTTCAACAAATATAAATCATATTGATGAAAAACAACATACTAAAAATTCAGAATTTTCAGTTATACTTTTGAAATCGCCTCCAAATAACTTTCCTATCTCTGCCTATATTTAACTCTGCAAATCACTCTCTGCCTATTTCCGCTTCCCCTAAATAAAATACTCACTTAAAAGTGTATTATTCTGTAAGTGCAAAGCTCTCATCAATAAACATTGCCATGGGTGTCAATATAATATGCTACTGAAAAGTAGAAGACTGTGGTAGCAACCCATTGATGTGTGCTAAGACAGTGACAGGCCTCCGACAGACCTTAAACCACAGCAGACAGATGGTGATAGGAAACCCTAGATGAAGTTAAAATATAGATTCCTTTCCACCCTCTAGCGGTTCAAAGGGGATATCTCACTTCTGTTCTGCTAGGCCATACCAAAGAGTATTGTGTATATTTACTAGTCTATGTAGGTTCCATTTTTATGGCAGTTTGTTTTTTTGTCAGTCAAGGAAAACTACTCACAGCAAGTCAGTGCTGCCTCCTTTGAGTGGCTTGTCAACATGAGTATGTGCGAACAGTGGAGTTGTCTAACCTCTGCAGTCTTGAAGGAGCAACTGCAAATGGAGAAAAGGGCTTTAGAGGGACTTGGATGATCGAGTACAAGAGTTCAGATGAGAAAGATTTATTTTCCCTGCATAAAGGGATCCTGAACGTATTAGTAGAAGTTCTTTCTCTTAGATAGAAGCCACTCACTTTCCTTTTCTCTAGACCAAGTTACTAATGAAAATTTATTCCAATGTGATTCAACTGAGCTTTAGAGTTGTGTGTTCTCCTGAGATGAAGTCTGTAAGGAGAGCAGCTCCCCAGGGTGCTTCTGTTTTGGAAGCAAAGATGGCTCTTAGAGAATTTAGTTGGGTGGATCTTTTCCCCTCCCAGTATTGAAGAGCTTCTACACGAATTTTAATCATGTTAAATTCCTCGTAAATTTTGCTAGTATGCCCCATCATATTAACAAATTAGAAGAAATGTAAATCAAAGATCACAGTTTATATCGGAATGAATTGTAAGGGCTGTGATAAACTTGAAAAAGAAATAATGATTCCAGGTGATCATCATAATAAAGAGAGTGGGGCCATTTGTTTTTTTGTAATGCTTACCAAACAGAAATAACCCTGTGACTACCGTGTCTAATTGTCCCTCCACCGGAATGGCTGTTTTCCTTTGGGAAGGCTGTAGCACAGTTCTAATGTCCACAGAAGGAAATGCTCGCTGGGAAATTACTGTAGGTTTTGTGTTTGTATAATTCTCTTCTCATGGTTGTGCTTGTTTATTTAAGGCCTTCTACCTTGGTCAGAGGTGAGAGTATCTGATGGGTCTGAGTTTCTAAGACGAAGTATAAAATCTGAAATATTCCAATATGTGGGATGACAGTGGAGTTAATTTCCATGAACTACCTCTAACTAAACAAATTATTTGCTTTAGGAATAGAAGAGTAAAGATACACAAATCATGCAGATGTTTATTATTCTTCCTAGATGTGGACATTAGCCAACATTGTCCTTTTTAGGATATTATAAATCAGTTTTTAAAGGTGAATAAAGTGCCATGAATTCATGCATTAGCAACTTACAAGAGTCTGGCCTGATGAAAGCAAAGCACACGTCAAGCAGAGCAAACCAACTCAAGGAAACAATTCCAAAAAGCTATGCAGCGTCGGAGAAGGACACTAGCATTTGCTAAGCAAGCTTTTCACTTTATAAGCAGAAATGCAAAACATCTGTACCATCCGTTGTCATTTTCCTTGACTGCCCAGATGTTGTGGTTAACCTGAATCCGGCCGGTAATGTTTCCGAGGACCCGGGCATCATGCTGATTCCGTGCACTTCACGGGGCGGGAACTGCCTTCTCCAGGTGGACCCGCGCCTGAAGTTCTTGTCATCGCTCTGCCAGGACAGGGTTAAGAACATGTAACACTGATTATTTACACTCAGCCTATCAAGTCTACGTATAGAATATCATGCTTTATTTTGATTACAAAATGAAAATACAGGAAGTTAGAAACAAATGCTTTAATAAAAAAATTTTCATATGATTTCAAATCAAAGGTTTGTCATCTTTAACAGTAAACATCTTTGAAAACCTAAAATAAAACCCCAATATTTCCCCAAAAGGTATATGTTGGAGATACTTTGTTGCACTTTATGCAAACTGGTTTTGTGGTATACTTAGTGGAATAAGTGTTGGCTCGTATACTCAAATAACTATATCATAAATTTTGCTTCTTTGTGTACAAGGGATATACAGGGATAGGAAAAAGCAGGTTTACAGTTGTGATTCACAAAACTATTTTTGTATTGCTCATTAATTATTGTATTATTTTCCATATGAACAAGTGTAAACCTACTTTTACCCACCCCTGTATGTTATAAGAATCTATATTTGATATAGTCTGGCTCATATGGGATACTATAACCTCTGTTTTTTATAAGAAACTGAATTTGTCATGTTAGATTTTAGCCGATACAGAATTAATTTTTAATTTGCTGAAAAACCTGGACACCATCCTTTTAATAAATACATGTGTTCTTTTGATGCCACTAAAGCATAATGTAACTCTGGTTGCTATTTTATAAATGTAATTCTGGTTGCTGTTTTTTTTAATATATTGATGATAAAATTTTCTCCCTCTCCGTGCATATACAAAGTACCTACACAGACACAATTGTTTTCCCTACATTAATAAGCAGCAATATATAATTTAGCATTTAATATTATTCTTTGTATCTAATTCTAAGGAAAATATTAATCATCCCACACATGGGACTGTCCATTCCCTGAAGTTATAGCTAAGTATGCGCAGTTGATGCTACTAACTCAGGCGACTTCAGTTTAGCATGCAGAATGATTGATATTCAGCTCAAATGACCACCCTTACAAAAAAGTAACACCATAGGGGATTCTTCATCATAGATTGCTAATTTAATTAACACTCAAGGTCACTTGTAATTACATCTATCCACTGTTCTCTTAGAATTCTTATTATCAATACCTAAATTTTGTTTAGATTTGGTAGGCACTTTACAGTTTAAGAAATGTCTGCTACTCCTCAATTGTTCGGCCTTACATGGCCTCAGATCTCCAAATGTTTATTGATGCAGAAAAGAAGCACCATTTCACAGCTGTGGCCCCTCCGACTTCTTGAATCTTGGAGAAGTTGTTGCATACACATAAATATTCTTCAGTTCTACATAACACTACATTGCATTGTAGGGACATATAACTCCTATAATGTATGAGTTAAGGGCTCAAAAATAAGCCAGAAATTTAATGATTTAAATCATGATTCTTGACTTCTGTTCTTTCTACATAGTGTTACTGCAGAAAGTTAATGGGAACTATAAAGCAGCAACATCATGGGAAGACGTTTCCATGAGATGAGATTAAAATACATCTTCTTAATTGAGGTCAAAGTCTGTAGAAACACAGGCGTTCTCAAATCATTTCAGTGGAATCTGAAAGTGATCAACCCCAGAAACAAGTTCACTCTGGTTCTGGGCAAGTTGTTTAGTTATTTTTGTTTACACTCAAAAACCAAAAAGAAACACACAAAAAGCTAGGACAAAAGAGAACAGACGGTTTGAATGATAAAATCATTTGCTGTGTTTTTAACAATAAGAAAAAGAAGCTGTATGATTTAAAGGCAGATCGTCCCATCCCAGTTAGAACTTTCTGCTTATTACTTTCAGGAAGCAACACTGTAAGTCACATAGGCTATGTCTCTACCTGAACAGCTCCTTCAGGTCAATCTGCATTTTAGAATGACAGACCTTTAATAATTTTTATTACAATTTTTTGCAACTTTTAAGCAAGGAGAATATTGCATTTAAAAGTGTGTATGGGTGTATGCAGACTATCTTCGATTCAACAAATAATAAGAATTAAAAAGGTTAAGAAACAACTTATAAAATTTATTTATTTATTTAATATATCTTTATTGATTTCAGAGAGAGGAAAGGAGAGGGAGAAAGAGAGATAGAAATATCAATGATGAGAGAGTCATTGATCGAGCCCCCAACC